GGGCCGGAGCTCCTGCACGTGGTGCAGGGCCTGCTCCAGGCTCCAGCCATACTGCTTCATGGCGTAAGCTATCACCGTGGCAGCCGAGCGGCTGACGCCCATCTTGCAGTGGACCAGCACGCGGGTGCCCTGTGCTCTGTGGAGGCAGAACAGAGTCAGCTTTCCCCTTCCCCACCGCCTCGCTGTGAGAGGCCCTGCAGCATGGGGGAAGGCAGGGAGTGGGCTCACCTCCCAGAGCAGAAGAGAAAGGAAGTAAGGACGCTGAGGACCAGAAAAGCTGACGGCAGAGCGAGGCAGGAGGAGGGCAGGGGACCTGGGCCGCAGGAAGCTGAGGCGGGGTGGGCGGTGGGGTGGGACAGCCCAACCTTGCAGCCTCCACGAAGCGGTGCGTCTCCTTCCAGTGGGGCAGCAGCTGGGCGGACTCCTCGTCCCAGAGGCGCACGTTGTGATATGTGAAGCGCTCAGGGTAGAAGTTGTCAATCTCTCGAGCCATGTTCAAGATGTGGCTCACCCTGCAGCATGGGGTATGAGGCCAGGCTGACGTGCCCTGGGCATCAGCCCTGTTGGCCAGTGGACCCAGTAGACCCTGGGTGTTTCTCTCTCGTTTTCTTGGTTCTGAGGGTTGGGTAGGGGCAGCAGAGTGGAAGGAAGAGATGACTGTGACCCTGAGCAAATTGTTTTACCCCGCTGGGCTTGGGTTCCCCCTGAGACCGGGTCATTGCTGGTCTGCCTGCAACTCGAGCCCTTCTCTCTTTCTCAGAAGGCAGTCAGAGAACAGCGTTTGAGCCAAGCTGAGATTGGGTAGATCTGCAGCAGCTGGTGACAAGGGTCGCAGCAGGTTTCCCAGAAGCCCGTGGTGGACCAAATGACAGGAACTGTTGAGAGCAGGCAACCACATCCCCCTGGGAGATGGGCCCTTCCTTCTCCCCTAGACGTGGTCATGCAGAGGGGAGCTTTTCTGCTTCACAGCTTGGGGAGGGAGAAGAGGGAACCAGGGAGCCTCCAGCAGACCAGGACGGCTGCTGTTCCCTTGACCAGGCCTGAGCCCTTTCAAGGGGAACAGCCCCAGGGTTGGAAGCAGAGCTAGCTGCCACTGAGAGGGGTCTGGGGGTTTCTGGACAGGATTCCTCATGGGGGAGGCCAGGCTAAGGGAAAAGACAGGGTGGGCAGTCCTGAGGGGGCTCAGAACCTACCTGTTTCTCTGCAGCTCCTCCAGGTTCGCTGCATTCCACTCTGAGCCCTGTGAACAGGGAGACAGCATCATTTGCCCTGTCCCCCTGCTGCCGTGGTCTGCATTTCCCACTCCTCAGCGTGCAGCTCACCAGGTAAAGGTGGGGGAAGATGCGGGATGCCCGGTCTTGCTGGGCCATGAGCAGCAGCATCTGGTTGTCAATGAAGTCGCGGTACTGCTGGAGAGGGCATCCCAGGCGCAGCTCCAGGGCCTGGCGGATCTGCACGCAGGAGGGTGAGGAAGGGCTGGGGGCGCCCTGCAAGGTTCCTGATGCCCCACCCTTCCCTCTGTGGCCTCAGGGGACTATTCTCTGTCCCATCCAGGCAGAGAAGCTGAGGCCAGGCATCTGAGAATGGCTCAGACAGGAGAAAAGCTTAAGTGGGGAGGCTCAGAGGACGCTCTGGCCTCCAGCCGGAGGCCCCCTAGCAGGGCCCAGCTCCTTCCCTGGTCCCTGGCACCCTGCCCACCTCTTTGGAAGTGATGCTCTCCAGGTCACTGGTGTCCAACACCTCCCACAGCTCAGCCCGGATCGCCTGCTCCATCTGCTCCTGTTCTGAGGGGCTGGGAACCAAGCCCGTCAATCTAGGGACCCCTTCCCAGCTCTGCCACATACCTCCCCCTTTCCTCTCCTCCCTGTACTGACCGGCCGGGCTCAGCGCTAGGAGGCCGCAGAGACTCCAGGTCGGCCATGGCCATCCACTCGTTGAGGCAGCTCTGGTCAGAGCTCAGTCTGTCCTGGTAGTAGCTGGCCCAGGTGAGGGCACTGCCCCCTGGCACAAGACCACTGCCCAGAGCCGCCTCACATGCCTGGTGCAACACCTGGAGTGTGGCCCTGGGACAGAGAAGAGGCTGGGTCACACTGTCCTCCCTACTGCCCCTGCCCAGACTCTGCAGCCGTCTTCGAGACCCAGACCTTACCACATGGTCTGGATGGAGATCGGCTTGAAGATCCGACTCTGCCCGCCAGACGTCACACTGAAGCCCCTGTGGGAGAGCAGGTGGGGTGTGGAGCCCAACTCCCTGAGAGGCCTACTCATTAGCCACCTCACAGGCTGGTCCTCAGAAGATGTGCACATCATTTGAGCTTCAAAATAAGCCCTGTTTGCCAGATATGGGGCAGCAGAGGCCCAGAGAAGTTAGGTGACTTGCCCAGGATCACACAGTGACTCTCAGGTAGAGCTGAGAGTAGGCTCAGCCTGGGGTCCTGCAGTTGCTCCCCAGTACCCACCACAGCCCCTACATACATCAAACTTGGTATTCCACCCTCTGGCCCCTCTTCTCTCTATTCCCCTCCCTCCAGTTGCCATCTCTTACCCATCTCCATCTAGATACACCTGGGTGTCACTCCACAGAGGCAAGACCAAGCCTAGGGTGCAGCTCGGGGAGCTGGCAGGGACAGAGGGAAAGCCGTTGTTCCCCAGCACCTCCCTCCCTTGCCCTCCTCCCTTCCTCTCCCTGCTCCCACCTGCTATCAGGGAAATCCACCCCCAGGAGGACTGTCTCCTCCTGGCTCAGATGTTCTCTTGTGGAAACTACCAGCAGGTAGCGGAGCCGAGGGGGCCGGGCTGCCTCCAGCTGCGCTGCCTGGGGAAGACGGGAAGGGAGAAGCCCAGGGTCACAGTGGCCCAGAGGACCCTGCTCCCCTCACCCCGAACTCCATCCAGGCCTAGAACAGACCTGCAACCTGCTCCCTCCACACCCATCCCTCTCCTCCCAGATACCAGATCGGTGGTTACAGTCTACTGGTTCTCAACTTTTGCCACATTTTTTTAAGTTGGGTTTTTTTTTTAATACAATCATCACTTTTTTCTTCTCCTCCTTTTTTTTTTTTTGGTTGGAGGGTGGTAGCTAGGTTTATTTGTTTATTTATTTTAATGGAGGTCCTGGGGCTTGAACTCAGGACCTTGTGCATGCTAGGCAGGCACTCTCCCACCCCTGGTTCCCAACTTTTGGATTTCATGGTCCAACAAAAAGTTTAAAAAGATTTTTCTCAAAGGGGATGTATGTGGGAAAAAGGGGAGAATGGGCATGACAGACTGCCCGTTTTTTGCTTCTGCCCAGGAAGGAAGTTTAAAAAACACCTTTCCACTTGCCATTACCATAATTTAATCGAAGAAATGTTTCTCACCAAAGAAATATTAAGGATACAGTCTCACAATAAAGGCTGGTGCTTCCATGGAACAAATTCCATTTTATGAAAGACTGACTGCATCTTGTTTTTCCTATTTGCTGCAGAAAGTGAGAGGTTCCACAGGCATCTGGGGACTGGTCCTCACTTTCCCACCTGTGTCCCCTCCCCACATGGGTTCCTCTTAGCACACCAGCCCCCAGCGGGTGCTCAGAATGTCCCCTGAACAGCAGTCCGTTTGTGGGCAAACCACATAGTCAGGAGGGTCTTGTACTGGTTGAATAGAAACTCTCCTCTGGGTAATTCTGGCCCCACAGGCTCACATAGGACAAACATCCCCATCATTTCCCATCCCTCCAGAGAACTGAAGACATTACCTTGTCCTATTGAAACAACTCTATGTGAAAGAGTCTTTGGGGTTTGGGTAACCTCTGTGCTCCCCAGGGTGCCCCCAGCCCTCCTACCACTGCTCCCCAAAGACACACACTGACTCCATTCTATTCTCTCCTCCCACCTGAGGGGTGGCTCATTTCCCTCTCAGAGGGCCAGAGGGCTCTGGATGGGCCCCTCACCAGGCGGATGTCATCCTGCGGCCTCAGCAGCTCCACCATGAGGTGCAGGTGCTGACTCTGCTCCTGCTTCCTGGGACTCTGGGGCACATGTCCATCATCTGTCTGGTCCCTGTGGGGCTGCTCTTCCTGCGGCGGTTCCGCTACTGGCTCAGGGCTGGCCTTGGCTGCGTCTCCATTGTCCTCTCCATCCTGCAGTCCTAGGACAGCCCCACGGAGTACTGCAAAGCTCTGCCTGGCAGGGGGGCAGGGAAACCGTTATGGTCCATTGTACCCCTTAGGACAGGTATGTGTGAGGATCACCTGGAGGGCTTGTTAAAACAGGTGTTGGACCTCATTCCCAGAAAGTCAGTGGGTCAGGAGTGGAGGCTTCAGAATGTGCATTTCTAGCCATTTCCCAAGTAATGCTGCCATGACACTTGGGGAACCACTCACTGCCTTGGAGGCTCTTAAGCCTCTAGCCCATCTATTCTTATCTGAGGAAGGGCAGGGGTGGCTTCCTTTCCCTTCCCACCTGCCTAACTCAAGAGATGCTGTGAACTTGGTGGGGACTCAGGAGTCCTCAGGCCCCATTGTCCCATCCTACCCTTTGAGTCATGACCCCTGGCTGGAGCCAGGTCCAGGACAGTGGGTCAAAGAGCTCCAACTGACCAGAGGGAAGATGAGAGCAAAAGCGGCCAGTTGTGCCCACCAGCTGTGCCCACTGTTAACACTGCCCCACATTCAGTGGGTCCTTTGGCTTTGGCTGTGAGTCCTCCAGGATGGCAGTGGCCAAACCTGGCAGCTGGATGGAGATGTCTGTGTTGGGGGGAGGTGCTCACCTTCGCTGGAGCCGGCTTCTGCGCTTGAAAGCCTGGTCCTGCCGAGAAAACAGCCCTCAGGGCAGAGTGAAGGGGGAGGGAAGAAGGACTCTCCTCTTCCCTCTTTCAGGGCTCCTGGTTGGGGGGTGGGTAGGGCTGCGCCTCCCTCCTCCACAGTGGGGAATGGAACCAGAAAAGGTGTCAGATCCCTTTCCCACTCCAGTCTACTCTTCACCCCAGGGCACTGGGGGAACCCGGGGCTAGGTCTCCGTTGGCAGCCGGCAGTAAGGGGTGGGGGTGCTACTGGGGATGTCTGAGGGTATGGCCCAGATCTGGGCCTGGGAAGGGGGTAGGGCCTCCGGCGGGGTAGGGCCTCCAGGAGACTGGACTGGCGCTCAGGATTCCGGATCTTGCCTTGGTCCGAGTTCCTGGGAGCCTCAAAATTTCCCCCAAACCCTTCCAGTCTGAGACTTGAAGTCCCTCTCTGCACACCCCCAGACTTGAGGGGAGGCTGTCCGTGGGCAGCCCGCACTCCCCCAGCCAACTGGTAGCCAACTGCGTGGGTAGAACCACAGCAAAGCCAGACTCACCGTGGGCCCCACAGGCGTGGACTGGCCGCTGGCCGGGGGCGAACGGCTTACTGTGACCAGGGCCATGGGCCAGGCCGGGGGCACCTGGGCCGGCACCGGGCACTGCGCCCTCCCTCAACCCCACGGACAGTCCCAGCTCCGGAGGACCAGGAAGGAGAGAGTCTGGAGCCACCAGGGCCTGGCACCTCCTCGGGGACGGCCCTTAAAGGGCCAGATACCCGTCCAACCCAGCCTGCGGAGCCCGCACCGAGCGGCGGCCGCCCCGCCCTTCTCTTCTCGACCGGTTGGGCCCGTCTGGCCCCCGCCCCACAAAACACGTTGGGGGCGGGGTCGGAGGGCGGAGCGCAGGTGCAGAGCCCGGCAGAGGGAAGGAGCAGCCTACTTTGTATTCCGGGTTGGGTTCGGGCCCTCCTCCCAGGAGGAACCCCTGCCCCTGTCCTCCCTGCTCCGCCCAGTTAGGTCACTTGAGATCTAATCTGGGCCTCAACCGTTCTGTTACCCAGCAGAGATGGGACCTAGGGAGGTAGGTTTGGGGACAAGGTCTTGGAAAGGACCAGAAGCAGTGGATCTTAAGTGGGGGGCACCCCAAACTTATTTCTCCTTGCTGATGGGCCCTTATGCTTCCACTCTCTGCATGAATCACTGAGAGATACGCAAAGCTTCAGGGGAAATCAGGTGGCATTTAGAACTAACCCATGATGCTCACAGGGGTCCTCAGGGCCACCTTGCAAGTGAGCAGAGCAGGGCTGAGCAGGTTCACAGCTCAGGTAGAGGGACATGACTTGCCAAAAGTCACTCCAACAGAACCTGCCAGAGTCAGGGCAGGAACCCAGGCCTGGGGTGCAGAGGCTCCTCCAAGCCAGCTGGATAGTCTGGAGGCCCAGCCTATCCCTCTCCCTAACATGAGCATGGGTGGGGTTCCAGGAAAGCCAGACTGTGTGGCAGGAGGAACCCAGGTCTCCAGTAAGTGGGCCAGGGTCAAGGGAATTGATGTTCATGGAACACCTACTCTGTAAGGGCACTTGACAGCTGTCAGCTCATTTTCCCCTCCCATCAGCTCTGGGGGTGGGAGGCGGTCTCATTTATAGGTGAGGAAACAGGCTCAGAGAGGCTAAGGGAGCCTGGGCCACGATTCAAACCCAGGTCTAAGGCCACTGCCCACGGTGTCTCCCCTCAGTGTCTCCTATGCCTCTCCCCTCCTCCCCGAATGAGCAGAGCAAGCCTGCTGCTGAGGGTCTCTTTATTTCCACCTCGGTCTCCAAAGAAAGCCCACCCCTGGGGCTCCAGGCCCCAAGCTCAGCAGCAGAGTGTTTATAAATAAATAAGTTACAAAAGTGAGTGGTGGAGCACCCCAGACAGCCCTCCCAGGGGCTAGGGGCTCAGTGCTCTGTGAGTGAGAGCTGCAGGATCCGCTGTAAGTCTTCCTCCTCCTGCTGCCCCTGCCGCTCCCGCTCCTCCTGCTCCTGAGAAGACAGCTCCAGGGCCAGGCGAAGCTGCTCCTCAAAGCTGGGGGAAGCCGGGACAGGGGGCGTCCTGTGACCCCTGGGCTCTGTGGACATCCGCAGGCTTTCCTGGAGGGCCCTTCCAGGCAAAGCATGAGAGGAGAGCAGACTGTGAGTGCTCAGGCTGGGGGAGGAAGCCAAGGGCTGGGTGGTTATGGAGGCCGAGGATGAGGACAGGGTGGCTGGGACCTGAAGACCAGAGAGGAGAGACAGGCCAGGCCCCATCTCCCCATCCCTCATGCCTCATTCACTGGTGGGCAGCACCAAAGATTGTGGGTGGCCCTGAAGAGGGTATGGGTCCTGGGACCAGCACCTCCCTGCTACCTACCACCACCAGCCAAGAACCCCTTGGCTGTCAGGGTCCTTGAGGCAGGGCAGGGCTGAGGCGTGGACCTGGTAGGTCCTCGAGGGCCTCACCGCTCCAGCTGAAGCTGCTCCTCGTAGGCTGCGGGGGCCTGGGGAGGGTGGGTGCCAGGCCGGGTGTTGGTCAGGGCTTCCCAGACAGTCACCTGCAGCAGCCAGAGCCCCTAGCTGTCACTTCTGCTACCCCGGCCCACACCCAGGGCCCAGTCCCGGCCCGCACCCCACCTGCTCCGCCTCCGTGCCCGCCTCCAGCAGGCTCTGCTGGATGGCAAACTGCAGCAGATCGTCGTCCTCGTCACGAAGGGGCTCACTGCGCTCTGCACCCAGCACGCTGTACCCCTCGGGCACCTCAAATACGGCAGGGTCCACCTCACAGGGGAAGGGGCTCCCTGGGCACCGCAGAGGGGTCATGTCAGCCCCCAGTGCCCAGGGACCAGCGAGCCGCACAGCCTGGCGCCCGCCCACAACAATACCTGAAGCCGGGATGGCAGAGCTGGGCGCTGGCACCCACACTGAGCTCAGCGGCTCGTCACAGCCACACAGGTTGCTGAAGGTGATGCGGGCATTGAGCACGTGGAAAAGGGGGATCTCTGCAAAGGGAGGGTCAAGCCTGAGCCAGCCCTGCAGCCCACACCCTCCCTGCTCCCCAGGAGCTGCCAGAGGCCCTCCTGCCACCCAGCCCACCCTCTCACCAATCTTGACCGGGAAGCCAGGGGGGAGGCGCAGGGTGATGAAGTCACGCAGTTTAGCAAAGTGAGCATTGCTGATGGCCATCAGGTCGATGATGGGCGTCACCTGGTCACTCAGGGAGAGTGGGTGCTCCTCGCTCAGCCACAGTGTTGCCTTGAACCTGCCCAGCCGACCGCAGAACGTGGGTCAAGGAACCTCTGCTAAGGCCCACCTCCTCTGGACACCTGCCTTTATGCATGCTCTCCACCTGGCCTGGGGTACCCTCTTCTCTGCTCAGCTGTCCCAGCCTGCCTCCCCCAGGAGCAGATGTCCTTCTGGCCCTATAGCTTGAGCTGCCCCTAGAGCCTGGGCTCAGGCTAGGCTTCAAGTGCTCTGTGCCAGTTCAGCTCTTCAGGATGAGGAGGGCAGGGCCGAGCTCTTGGCTTCAGTCTGGCCTCTTCCACAGCCCTGTCCTCCTCAGCACAGCCAACTAGCACCTCACACTTTGCCAGACTTTTGGGTCCAGCACAGCCCACAGTTCGGGACTACTGGCGTTCCATCCCAGTCCCACCACTGCATGGCTGAGGGAGTCCGTGTGAAGTTCCTGGGACGGTACCAGGCCCATCATAAGGGCTGAGTGTCACAGCTCATCAGAGCCTCACAGCACCTTTGTGAGCAGGCGGCCAAATGCAGCTGTTCTCATTTTACTGAGGAGACTAGACTCTCAGAAGGGAAGATGTTTCCTCAGCCACAAAGCCAGGTGTTAGAGCTCTGTGCCCTGCCCTCCCAGTTCTGCCACAAGCTGGCCCCCAGCAGGTGCTCATTAAGTTGAATAGAAACCCATATATGCGGGTGCTGCTGCCCATTCATTCACCAAGAAGAGTGTCTTCTGAGCCAAGCCCCAAGCTGGGTGCTGAGGACCATGGCTAAGGCAGACCTGGCTCCTGCCCACAAGGAGTAAAGTCTAGAAGGAAGCCGTCTAGGTGAGTGAGCCCCCCACCCCAGGGGACCTCATGTGTGACAGGAGTTTGCAAGTGCTCAAGGGAACCAGGTGGGGTCCCTGTCCCTGAAGGAAGCCCCCAGCCAGCCCCCAGACCTCACCTCTGCACTTTGCTGGACATTTCAATGGGGCGACCGATGTTCCTTGACTCCAGGCTGAAGTTGGGGTCAAAGTATTCGTTGGGGGAAATGGCTGTGGGGTTTGTGGAGCTGGCTGCCTGATGCACAGAAGCCTAGGTGGACCCCAGGACCAGGCTTAGCACTCAGGAGGCACCCGCCTGGCCCCACCCAGTGGCCCCCAGCCAGCCGGCCCCAGCCCCGCCCCCAGCCCCGGCTCACCCCATTGTGGGAGGAGTGCTGCTGGGCCATCCCAAGGAAGGACTGGAATGGAGTCTTCCCCCCTAAGGAGAAGGGGTGGGAGCCCATGAGGGAAATTTGGGCCACTGACCCAGACTGCCCACACCTACCCTCCACCCTGGGTGCCTCCTGTGTGGTGGGAGGCAGAGCAGATGGGAACAGGGAAGCCTCCCAGCTTGTCCCAGATACTCTGGCCCTGACCACAGACCCAGGTGACCCCACCATGTGGTGTGACTGGGCAGCAGGCAGGCGCACCTGGGTTTACCTTTGCTCTTCGACTTGTCCTGATCAGAGAGGTGCTCCGTGCGTGTGCGTGTCACCAGCTCCACATTGGTGGCACTGTACACCTGGGGAGCAGGGGGGACACAGGGGAAGCTGGGGGCTCAGGGCCTGTTCCCCACACTCAGCCTCACCAGGAAAGGACCCAAGTCCTCCTGTTCCCAGGGAGAGACGAGATCTTGCTCCCCACAGTGGAAGTGGCGGGGTCTGAACCCCGGGGAAAATCCTCCTCGCTTCATCTCAGTAATCTGGGTAGGGGCCCGGGCTGTGGGTGATCCTTGCGTGCTCAGCAGGGGCTGGGTACTCCGGCCGCACGGAGTTCCCGTGGCCACAAAGGCTTCCAGAGCCCACGGGCTACTCTGTCTCTCCCTCCACATGGGGTGGGTGTGGAGAAAGAGTGGAGTTCCTGGGCCTCGTCTCCTACCCCAGCCCCCACCACTAGCCTCTCCTGCCTTGGCCTCGTAGCCGCTAACGGTTTCCATCTTCTCAGACCGCCAGCCCCAGATACCACATTTGTTCCTGAAACAGACCAAACAGGAGCTCATGAGGACCCATACCCTCAACTCTGGTCAAAATCTTCCCTTTCAAAAACCCCCCTCTAATTAGCCTTCCCTCTGAAACACACAGAGGGGACCTGAAGATCCTCTGGACAGCTGGGGACAGTGGAACAGAGGACCGAGGACTAAGATGTACTGGGGATTAGCATTAACTTTTGCTAGGTGTGATAATGGTGGGTTTAAAAACATCCTTATCTGTTAAAGTCACATGCAGAAGCATTTACTGTTTTTTTCTTTTTTTGAGGAGGGGGTAATTAGATTTACTTATGTATTTATTTAATTTATTTTTTTACCGGAGGCACTGGGGATTGAACCTAGGACCTCGTGCATGACAAGCACACACTCTACCACTGAGCTAGACCCTCCCCCCAGCATTTACTGTTGAAATGATATGATATCTAGGATGTGCTTTAAAATAGTCCAGGGAAAAAGCAAAAAGAACAAAAATGGGGAAGGATAGACTCAACAAGACTGGCAAAATGCTGATAAATGTTAAAGTTGGGTGATGAGTACATTATACTATTTTCTCTTCTTTCATGTATGCTTGAAATTTTCTATAATGAAAATTTAAAATTAAAAGTATGTCTGATTCAACAATAATAATTCGAGACTTCAGTACCCTACCTTCAATAATGGAGAGAAGGAGTAGACAAGATAAACAAGGAAACAGAAGACTTGAACATCACTATAAACGAGACTTGATAGGCTTCTTTAGAACACTCCACCAAAAGACAACAGAATACACATTCTGCTTAAGTGCACGTGGAACATTCTTCAGGACAGACCATATGCTAGGCCATAAAAGAAACCTCAATAAACTTGAAAGAATAGAAATCATACAAAGTATGTTCTCCAATCACAACTGAATGAAGTTAGAATCAGTAACAAAAAAAAGATTTGGGAAACTCAAAAATGTGTGGAAAGCAAACAACACACTCCTAAATAACCAATAGATCAGATAATAAATCAAAAGCAAAATCAGAAGATACTTTTGGATGAATGGAAATGAAGACACATCATACCAAAACTTACAGGGTGAGGAGGGTATAGTTCAGTGGTAGAGTGTGTGCTTAGCATGCATGAGGTCTTGGGTTCAATCCCCAGTACTTCCATTAAATAAATAAAAACCTAATTACCTCCCCTACCCCCAAAACAAACACACAAAAAAGAATTCTTTAAATAAAAGAATATAAATAAACAAATGGAAATTTAAAATCTCTTTAAAAAATTTATGGGATACAGCTAAAGCAATGTGTTTAGAGAAAAATTTATAGCTGTCAATAACTATATTAAGAAAGAGGAAAGACCTTAAATCAATAACCTAAATTTCTATATTAAGACAATGGGAAAAGAGCAAACTAAACCCACAGCAAGCAGAAGGAAGGAAGTAATAAACACTAGAGTGAAAATTGATGAAACAGAATAGAAAAATAGGGAAAATCTATTAAATTAAAAGCTGGTTCTTTGAAAAGATCAGAACAGAAAGATCTGAAACATTTGAACAGAATTGACAAGCCTTTAGCTATTGGCCAAGAAAAGAGAGAAGACACAATTACCAGAATCAGAAATGGAAGAGGGTCATTACTACTAATATAATAAAAATTAAAAAAGATTATAAATAAAGGAACATGATAAATAATCATACCTCAACAAATTAGATAATTTAGATGAAATGGATAAATTCTAGAGAGACAAAGTACCAACATTAACTCAGCAAGTAGATAATCAAATCAATTTGTAACAAGAGAGTGAAGTAGTAAGAACAAACAAACATACAAACAAAAAATCCAAACCAAAAAACCACCCACAAAAAAAAGCCCAGGCCCAGATGGCTTCACCAATGAATCACACCAGACTTTTAAAGAAGAATTAATACCAATTATTCACAAACTCTTGCAAAAAATAGATGAGAAGGTGACACAGCCTAACTCCTTCTGTGAGGCACTGCCCAGACACTGAAGCCAGAAACAGACATCACAAGAGAACTATAAACCAACATCTTTTATGACTGTGGTATCCTTTTTTTTTTTAAATCTTTTTTCCATTGGGGGGGTAATTAGGTTTAGTTATTTATTTATTTAAATGAGGGTACTGGGGATTGAACTCAGGACCTCATGCATGCTAAGCATGTGCTCTACCACTAAGCTATGCCCTCCCCACTTCTTATGACTACAGACACAAAATACTAGCCAACCAAATATAGCAACATATGTAAAGAATTATACACCACAACAAAGTCGAATTTATCCCAAGAATACCAGGTTGGTTCAACATCTGAAAATCAACTGATATAACACATGTCAATAGAATAAAAATTAAAGTCACATACGAGCATATCAATAGACACAGAAAAAGCATTTGACAAAATCCAAACCCTTTCATGATAAAAACACTCGACAAGCCAGGAATAGAAGGGAACTTCCTCAGTCTGACAAAGGGCACCCACAACTAACATCACACTTAATGGTGAAAGACCGAATGCTTTTCCCCTAAGGTCAGAAACAAGATAAAGATGTCTGCTCTCGCCACTTAACATTCAACATTCTACTGGAGGTTCCAGACAAAGCAATTAGGCAAGAAAAAGAAATGAAAGGTATCCAGATTGGAAAGGAAGAAGTAAAACTATGAACAGATGACATGATCTTACATATGAAAAATCATGAAGAATCCACTAAATACCCATTAGAACTAAAATCTGAGTTTGGCAAGGTTGCAGGATATAAGATCAATATACAAAAATCAATTGTATTTTTACAGGTTTGCAATGAACAATTCAAAAAAGTAATTAAGAAGACAATTGAATTCATAATAAATTTATCATAGGAAGTGTAAAACTTACTTTCTGAAAACTACAAAACATCACTTAAAAAATTAAAGATCTAAATAAATGGAAAGATATCTCACATTCATGGCAGAAGTCTTAACATAATTAAAATGGCAATACTCCCCAAACTGATTTACAGTTTCAACACAAACACTATCAGAATCCCACCTGAGTTCTTTGCAGAAACTGACAAGCTGAATCTGAAATTCATAAGAAATTGCAAGGGACTCAGAATATCTAAAATAATTTTGAGAAAGAAAAAGTCAGAAGACTCACACTTTCCAATTTCAAAAACTTACTACAAAGCAACGTGTGATTAAGACAGTGTGGTACTAGCACAAAGGTAGTCATATAAACCAATGGAATAGAATTGAGAGTCTAGAAGTAAAGCCATACATCTATGGTCAACTGATTTTCCACAAGGGTACCAAGACCACTTGATGGGAAAGAACAATCTTTTTAACAAATGGTGCTGGGGTAAGTGGATGGTCACATGCAAAAGAGTGAAGTTGAACCCTGACTTCCCATCACATACAAATATTAACTCAAAATGGATCAAAGAGCTCAATTTAAGAGCTAAAACTATAAAATGTTCAGAAGAAAACAAAGGGGAAAATCTTCATGACTTTAGATTTGGCAAAGTATTGTTAGATACGACATTAAAAGCACAAGCAACAGAAGGAAAAATAGATAAACTGGACTTTGGGAAACTTAAAAACTTTTGTGTTTCAAAGGACACCATCAAGAAAGTGAAAAGAAATGAAAAAGAACACGAAAATGAATATATGTATGTACATGCATGACTGGAACATTGTGCTGTACACCAGAAGTGGACACATTATAACTGACTATACTTCATTTAAAAAAAAAATTACAGACAGTGAAAAGACAACCTAGAGAATGGGAGAAAATATTTGCAAACCATCTAGCTGATGAGGAATTTATATCCAGAATGTATAAGGAACTCTTATAACTCAATAATAAAAAGATAACCCAATTTTTCACACGGGCAAAGGATCTGAATAGATACTTCTCCAAAGAAGATACACAAATGGCCAATAAGCACATGAAAAGACGCTCAACATTATAAGCGAAATGTAAATCAAAACCACAATGTGATACCGCTTCACACCCACTAGGATGATTATAACCCCAAGATAAATAAATAAATGAACAGTAAATGTTGGTGAGGATGTGGAGAAACTTTCATATACTGCTGATGGGAATGTAAAATGCTGCATCTCCTTTCGTAAATAGACTGGCAGGTCCTCAAATAATTAAACATATGTGTTTAATTTCCACATGTTACCACATGACCTAGCAATTCCACTCCTAGGTAAACAAATACCCAAGAGAAATGAAAACATAGGTCCACACAAAAACTTGTACACTAATGTTTAGAGCAGCATTATTCATAACAGTTAAAAGGTGGAAATAATCCTCATATCTGTCAATGGATGAATGAACAAACAAAATGTGGTCTATTCATACAATGGATTTGGCCATAAAAAGGAATAAAGTAGTTATACGCTACAACTTGGAAGAACCTTGAAAACATTACGCTAAGCAAAAGAGGCCAGTCACACAAGACCACATGTTGTATGATTCCATTCATATGAAAATCCAGAATAGGGAAATCTATAGAGACAGAAAGTAGATTAGTGGTTGCTTAGGGCTCGGGGGAGGGGATGGGAGAGGCGAGTTGATTGTTAAAGGGCACAGGGTTTTTGAGGTGACAAAAATGTTCTAAAATTGGACTGTGGTGCTGGTTACGTATCTGTAAATATACTAAAGCCCACTGAATTATACATTTTAAATAGGTGAACTGTATGGTGTATAAAATTATATCTCAATAAAGTTTTTTTTTAAGTATTTCTGAAGTCTGTTATTGGACCTGGGGCATATATTGTCAGAGGAATAATACCCTGGCCATCCTAAGCTACACACAAAGGACTATGGCCCAGACACAGCCGCACCACTGAGAAGCCAATACTGTTGCAGGCAGTTGTGCTGAACCACAACCTGAATCTTTGTTCTTACGGGAAAACATGTGAGGTCAGAAGTCAAGAAACTGGGGACACCCTGACCTAGCCTCCTCCCAGGAAGACAGCTGCCAGTGTAGACAGGCATGCAGGGCCTCAAAGGTGCCCAGGACTGGCAGGTGGTGGGAGAGACACTGGGTCTGAGTGACCCCCTCCCCCATAAGAGCAGCCTCTGTGAGTGGCTCCGCCTCCCAGAGGCCTGAACCAGAGTCTCAAGGGCACCACCCACAGTGTGGCCAGGCCCCAACCGACCTCTCGAAGGCCACATTGCGAGTATCCAGGTGAGTGGAGACGATAGGAGAGGTGAGGCGGCTGGCCACGTGCTCCTCACTGGGCCGCATGGCGGCCAGCAGTGCTTCTGGCTCGTGCAGGGTCAGCCCCAGCATCTCTGTGTGCACCACTTGCCGGTCGTGGTCAACTTCCATCACCAAGGCTCCTGCCTCTGCCAGCCGGCGGGGGGCATAAGGGGGACAAATCAGTGCCAGGCTCGGACAGCGGCAGGAGGGCTATTGTGGTGCCCTCTGCCACCTGCTGCTCAGGGTGAGGCCTCAGCCCCTGGTCTCCTCCACCCTACCTCCATTTCCACATCTGGAGAGAGACAAAGGACAGCACTGTCCTCACAAGCCACAGGAAAACCCAGGGCCCTGGTGTGCTGCGCGCTGCGGTGAGCCCACCACGCTCACCCTGGCCCTTGAAGATGAAGCTCCTCCGGCCACGCTGCCAGGTCATGTGCTCAAAGCCCAGGAGGCTGGTGTCCACCCGCAGGCTCTCACCCCGCTTCCACACACGGTACACATCACTTGGGCACATCTTAGACACGAGGGGCACTGCAGAGAACATGGAGGTCAAAAGGGTTCTTTCCCAAAGGCCCCAGTGCAGCCCCCTGGGAGCCATGAGGTCCCCACTCACCCCAGCTGGTGAACTCCCACTTCATCTCCACATAGAAATCGGGGGCCTGAGATAGACCAGAGCACCAGTCAGGGCCCTGCCTGGTGCTGGGGGCCAACAAGCCTAGGAAGCTCCTGGTCCGCAGGCCCCCTCCTGGGAGCCTAGCTCCTCGGCAAGTCTTGATGTGCCGCCACCCCAGACAAACCCCGCCCAGGAAAGGGTAAGCCAAGTGAGGCCTAAAAGGGTCTGTGCTACAAGCATCTGCAGGCCTGGGGGCCAGTCTCAACCTGGTCACTAGCTGGCTAGAGAGCCCTGGATCTTTTGCCCTCTCTAGGTCTGAGAGTCTTCATCTGAAAAGGGGACAAAATGAATTGCTCTTGGCCCGCCCCTGGGGTAGGGGGCTCTCCCTGCAGCCCCCCCCCAACCAATGTGTCCCAGAAGGGTGGACAAGGCTCCAGGCCACAGCCACTAAATTGGAGGAAATCCTCCTTCCAGGAAATCTGCACTAACTGGGAGGCCCACAGTCTAAAAGCTCTGTTGAGATTTCTGGCACTAGAGGACCCCAGATGCTGGGAAAGGCCTTCCTCCCAAAGGGCCCACTCTCATTCATGAAGGCCTGTACTCTTTCCTATGTGACCCTGGGCTGCAGTTGAAAGAGAGGGACCTCACTGACATTGTGAGGAAAGCATGCTACACGGGCTGAGTGCCCTTGTAAGGCAAGGGCTGGCATGGGTGACCAGGGTGACCCCCACATACTCTGTCATGGTCCCCTCCATGGCGTGCCACCACCCCCCGTACTGGCCACACCTCTGTGCCTTGCTGTACCTGGCGGAGTTTGTTGAGCAATTCTGGAATGCCAGCCAGCCTCTGCGTGGCCCTCTGGTAGTCCCGATACTGGAGTACCAGCTGCACCATCTCAGGGTCCCCCGTGCTGACTGCCTCCTGGAGGACTGGGGGTACCAGGTTGCTGAGGGGAGTTCTCTAGGTGGCCCCAGACCTGGCTGCTCACTCCCATGCACCAACTCCCGCTGCTGCCAGCTTCAGGGGAGCCCCTTTGCCCTCTGCAGTACCTGCCCAGCCCTGGCAGCTCTCTTTGCCCACGTTGGCATTGTGTCGAAGGAGGACTCTCACAGACTCCAAGTTTCCCAGCGATACAGCCAGCTCCAGGGGGGTGCGCCCCCGAGGGTCTTCCTGTTCAATGTCATGCTGGAAAAGATGGGACATTCAGCACTGGGCAAGTAAGGAGAGGCCAAGGCAAGAAGGCCACTAGCATGAACAGGGTTGGGAGTCACTGCGGGAAATACGGACAGCAGACACCAGGCGATGGAAATGGCAGAGGGCGGCCTGCTGTCCTGAAAAGGGAGTGGAAGGGGCAGGTGGAAAGGGCCTGCCCATCTCTCCTGCCCCCTCTCTGCCAGGGACAGAGCTGGGGGTCTGGTGGTGGTGGTGCGTGGGGGTTCTGGTCACGTAGAGGTGCAGCTGCCGATGTCAAGAGTTTGGAATGGCCTGGGGACCAGAACTGGGCTGCTTTTCTCAGCCTGGCTCAGGCGTGGTGCGGGGCGAATTCTGAGGCTGGATGCAGGGTGAAGTAGGGAGACCGGCAGGGCAAGGCCCAGCGCTGGGAGCCAAGGCCAGAAGCACAAGCGCCAGGAGTAGGTGACCTGAGCTTCCGATCGAGCCGGGGAAGGGGAGCTGGGCAGGTGGCCCCCAGGATGGAGACCACAACTTGGGGTGAGGACCAGGACGCCGGCCCGGGTGCCTGGCGAGCCTCACCTGGCGGCTATGCAGCGCGGCCTCCAGTTCACGGTGCTGGTTCGCCCAGACGAGCCGGTGCAGCGGGAAGGTGGGGCCTGGGCCGGCCATTCTGGGCCTCAG